GAATAATTCCATAGAAAGCGACCCAAGTCCAAATCCTATTTCTTTTCCAAATTGTTGATAATTGTTGCTTCCGCTGTGAAAATGAATTCATTGCGCAATACTTACGCATAGCAAGCTTTCCATGCTGAAGTTTCAAACCCAAAATCAATTTAAGTAGGGCGATAAAGATCTATATGCCATACATTGCGACCACTAACCCTAATGTGGATAATAAATACCTTTGTCAAGCTGCGGAGATCTTCACCTAAGTTTCTTTTTTCAGCTAAAACCCTTGCTGAGATATAGTCATAAGAAAGGAAGACTCCTACTGAAGTGAGATAGCGAGATAAGAAAAGAAATTCAACAAAATCAGTAGTACAAGCTGATGAAATGTTTAGTGTACAATGAAAGACTAAGCTTTGGTTTGGGTCTATGGTCCTCCCATCGCCTAAAAGAATAGACTATTGGAACCTTCGTAAACATTCGAGAAGTTCAGCTCTACAGCACAGTAAGTCTCGAGCGGCAAAGCAATAAATAAATCTTATTGAATCTTATTGTTAGGAGAGGAATCCAAGTAAGTGAAAACGAGTCACATAAGTTTTGGAATGCTGTGAGCGTTTCATGCTACTAGCTGATTACTCGATGAGAATTGTTTACAAATGTGTGATCTCTTCCCAGGTACGATGTACAAATCGCTGTAGAACACAGTCGCCAACTACAGTCACTTTATCTATCTTCGAAGGATCATCGCCAGGTCTGTAGTTGAACTTCACAAAATGTGCTCCGTCGACATCTACCTGAACATTTGATAATAATTTATTGGATAAAAATCAAATCTTTATGACTCACAGCTAAACTTGACCCATATGCGGTGAAAAGGATATCGGAAGTTAGTCCTTTGGAAAATGGGAAATTAGAAGTTTCTCTTTCTTCAACTTGCCATCTACCATTTTTAGTACTGTTTCGGATCACCACGTCCTAAACTATGCAGCGATCTTGAGTGGAAAAAAAGCGAAAATTTCTAACAACCTTGCTGTGTTTATCACCCGAATTTCGAAAGTCCACCCGAAAATGGAATATCCATTCATCTCCCATCTTGAGATTACAAGTGAACTGTCTAGCACTCATGAATGGAGTAAGGGTAAATCGTATTGACTGAGGGCTGACAAAACCATACATTTCTTCCGGGAACGTCCATGAGAAGGGAATCAACTGTAAATTCATTTTTAAGGATGAGATGGAAGCCATAGGCGAAAATACGGAGCTAGAA